TAAATACAAGAATACCGTTAAAGTACCGGATCGATAAGCAGTATCGATAAGACTAGTAGTACCGTAGAAAACCTTAACGATACCCATCCCTAGATATTACACAAGTAAAGTGTTAAGAGAGTGAAATGTTGCTTTACGAATTTCAACACTTGATACTGTCACATTGATTCCAATTTCAGATACCTGTATTTTGTATAACTGAATTGGTTTAAAGAGAGAAAACATTTTGACTAAAAGTTGACTAAAATGTAATTTTTCATCGACTAAAAGTAGACTAAAACGTTTTGAGTTTTCGTCGACTAAAACTAGACTAAAACTATGAAGGATAGAAATGACTAAAATGTGACTAAAACTAATAACCATAACCATCTCTGCTCACGGATCGTCTTTTTACACACACGGAGTTTTGAGACAAACCGTCCCCCGGTCTCGGCTAAAATCTACTCGTGTCACTCGGTTATCTTCGGAAAACACGTGATGGCCGGCTGATGACGACATTTCCGCATGATTTCAAAGAGCATGATGTTTTTGTATTATAATGAACAGCAGAACGTTAGATGCATTCTTTATCACCATCATCATCATGTTGATGTTGTATTGAAGAGTTACAACACTTTGTTTCGCCATACATTTGTAGGACAGTTTATACTGCCTGCAGGGTTTTAGTTATAGAGAGGAGGTCAGAGCAGATGGCTGCATGAGGTCCCCTATTTTACTCCTTTTCAACAATATATTACAGGTCTCAGATATATATAGAAGATGTCTCTGAAGTGATTGGCTGAAACACCAAACAGATCATTGCAGCATCCCATAAACCCCTCTGTTTCAGCCCTGTTTCAAAAGTGCTGATTCTGTCTTTTACATAGACGTGCAGGCCACGCCCCTCTGAGAGATGATTGGTTTAAAAAAACTCAATGGTGCTCTAGTAGGAGATTCAGGTGATAAGGTGGGCGGGGGTTACTTTCGTTGGTTGCACAACCCAAAAAACATTGTGACATCACAAAGTTACCAAAATCTGATCAGCTCATTTTCAGATTTTATAAAGATGGATCAGGACAAAAAGAGAGGGAAGCTTTGTTCTCAGACTCAGAGCCTTTTTACACAGAGGGAAAACGGAAAAGTGGATTTTGTATAACAGGGGACCATTAAGAGAACGTCTCATATGTTAATGAAACATTTTAGTGTAAGGGTGGTGGAAATAGGATGGTTTCATTTAAACAGTGAAAAAGTCATCCTGCTCTGTCACATGTATGGAGCTAATTTCCTGCCATAACTCCACAAACAAACTAAACACGTTTTACAAATGCCTTAGGATTCACTTACAAACACAGTATGGTTAGCAAATACAAAACACCATCTACAAACTAATGCATTTAGTTTTGCAAATAAAAAACGTATCTATCAAACAAACACATATCAATTTTCTAATAAATTATGTTTCAGAGACAAATTCAGCATAGGTTTTACAAGTAAAAAACGAGTGGTTACGTGTGGTAACCTGTGTTATATAAACACAGGCGGAGCCCTCTACTGGACTCTATGGGTACTCCCCTTGATCATATCATACAAGCATTCATCCACTGAGACTTCTATAGACGTAGCCGGCCCCTATAGACGTAGCCGGCCCCGCATAAAAGGAGGCCTGATTACTTTTTTTTATAATTTAAAAAAAAAATTATTATTAATAATAACGTTAGCATAGACACTTTTGTCTTTGACAAACAACTAGCGCAGTGTTTCTCAAAATTATTATTTTTTTCGGCAGAGGGCGCAACTTTTTTTTGGCAGAGGGCGCAACGGGAGCCACGGCTCTGAACCGGCGCCTCTCTCTCTCTCTCTCCGCCTTGCCACCACCGGGCGCTCTCTCCCTTGAGGAGGGCCCTGAGGGCGAGCTGGAGGCAGCATGTGGCTGAGCTGCGCCCTCTCTTCCTCCAGGCGAGTGAACCGTTGGGTGACCGAGGATATCGATCCGAAGAGCCCTCCCATGGAAACGGGGGCCCCAAGGAGATCCTCACGGTCTTTCTTGGCCAGTGTGGTCAGACCTAGCCACACGTGATGCGACGCCATGGTGGCCAGGGACATCACACGGCCGGCTGCGGTAGCCATACCGTGGACCAGATTATTGATTTGGCCCACGCAGCGGTGCGAGTAATCACTCCCGTCCTCAGGTGGGGGGCGGGGATGTCCTGCTGAGGGGTAATCAGTGACACTCCCAACACACCAAGATTGCTGGCCACTGCCGTCATCTGCGTTTCGAGACTGAATATCTTATCCAGATGCTCAAGCATTTCCCGGTCACGCGGCAGCGGGGGCAGGGGCCTTCTCCCCTCTGCCCACCCGGCTGCCTGCGGAAGCAGATGGGCCGCCAGGCTTTCATCCAGGGGGGACACACCGGGACACTCCGTGTCCGAGTGGCCCTGCACCCTGAGGATTCCAGCCCATGTCGCCACCGGAGCCTTCGTCCTCAGTGGCTGTCGCCACGTCGCCTCCACACACCGCCAGATGTCTGGCAGGGGGGGCAAGACGAAGGCCGGCTGCGCCGGACGGGCCTGACGTAGGCGACTCACCGGCCTCGGTGGCAGCGGTGGGGGGAGCGGTAAGCCTACACGCTCCGCCGCCATAGTCATCACCACCGGGAAGTCCTGTCGCGCAGACCTGTGCTACTGGCCTTCCTGGCGGTCGCCGGAAACATCAGACGACGAGGTGTCGCCGTCGACGTCCCTCTGGCGGTGGAGGTCCGTCCCTGCAATGACGCCAGGGCACGAAGGAAAGAGCCATTGCTCCAGCAAAGGTGAGTCCATTTCTTCGATGCTTTTATGTTTCATCCGTTTCTCTTCACTCAGTGTGTCTCTCTTGGTTGCTGAAGAGAAAGGGATGACAGTCAGGAGGCGAGGCCTCCTTTTATGCGGTGAGATGTGCGCGCATTCAGGTAGGCCCGCCCCGGGGCAGGCTACGTCTATAGAAGTCTCAGTAGATAAATGCTTGCATGATATGATCAAGGGGAGTACCCATAGAGTCCAGTAGAGGGCGGAGCCTGTGAGAGATATAACTTTTTTTTACAAGTACAAAACCTTTTCTTCTAAAGTCACGGAATATTACTGCCAAAAGTCACGTGACACACGTGAACTGGCAGGAGGTTGAGCAGAGCATGGAACAGCCCTTGCCAGTCTGATGACAGTGGTGTTTCTAGCAATCCAGCGATCTGATACCGGACCTCATTTAACAATGAGCGGCCAACTGGTGAGATTGCTATTTTTTCTGGTGAAAAAGTCAAAGTTAACCCTGTTTTTGATTTTGCTTCTTTCTCGGTCTCTGAAGTCTTACAGGGTTTGCACTCAATTGATCCTAAAAAGTCTGCCGGGCCTGGCGGCCTCGACCCATTCTTTTAAAAATTGCAGCTCAGATTATAATTGTTTTAGGGTCAATG